TTTTGGGGGTAATAAATGAGCCAATGCAAGGGTGACTGGGTGAGTCCTGCACAATCAGAAGTGCGAAGAGGCATCTGCCATTGATATGCGCACGGCACCGCATGACACCCTACTTACCGAGCCCGCCTTGTCCCACTCTCCCCTTACATGGAAATACATTCCGTTGTGGATGTCTACCGACATGCATAATTATAGACATTTTAAGCAGGGATAAGTAATGAGGCAACTTCAGAATGTTAAGTGCATCTATATAACTACCAGAAATGCATTAAATGCATTTCTGTACATTTCAAATCCATTCCTAACTAGAAAAGCTGTAGGTTTGGCCATCTGATTTTTTGCCAGTTTTTGCCAGTTTTTGCCACCAGGGTTTCTGCCAGCCGGTTTAAACCGGTTAAAACCACTGGCAAAAACCAGTTTTTGCCACCCCCTGCCAACCCTTTAAGGGACTATCCCACCTTTAACATGGGGTTTGAGTTGAGATAGCCAAGTTTGCGGCGAGGTTCAGAAACCACTATCTATCTAGGTTGCAACCCCCGCGGCCTCTTGGTGTTGAAGAAATTCGTTCCCTTCATTTGAAAATGGGCCTTGTACAAGGCCCTATCTTCAACATGGAGCGACCGTTAGTGTAACGTCACCTCGTTTAGTCATTCTGATTTAAATGGGTTTGTTCGTTGAAAAATCGCTTAAAACTTGGTCTGAACTTTGTTGTGGTGCCTACAGAGTAAAAAGAATCAGCTTTATGACAGTAATGTGGCCTGGGGAAGGAGGTAATTTTGGGCTGTGACGTCACATATTTGAAAGTTTGTGTTTGGAATATGGGAAGCCTAAGATGTTTAATGAAAAATAAATGCCAGAATCGTGTTCCTGGTCATCCAATCTATAAAGTCGGGCACAATTTAACTGGTTTTAACAACATTTTAGAAGGTGGGATAGTCCCTTTAATGCGCAGTGTTTCACTGATACCTTGCTATTAAATCAATATAGATGCTTCTAAATGTAAAGCAATGCAATTATGCGATGAGTTTAAGTGTCAGCAATCGATAGCCAATGATTTAATTTTCCCTGCAAATCATTATGCGTAAACTTAAGTTTAAAGAGTTACACTACATATCGTTCCGAATCCCGAGACGAACTATGATTACAAATTCTGATCTCGTCCACTGACTCTCTGCGCGTCTCTCCGGCAGACAAGGGCGGCGTGCAGGCGGAGGAGGCGGCCGCGCTGGCGCGCCACGTGCGGACCGAATGTCCGGCGCTGGTGTTCACCGGCCTGATGACCATCGGCGCGTTCGACCACGATCTGAGCGTCGGCCCCAACCCCGACTTCCAGGTCTGTGTCGGCCGGAGTCCGGTCCGAGCAGGGCTGGGACTCTCTCCCGCTCCTAGTACGATCGTTTTCCACTGATACTGCTGCGTTCGTCTACCGAACTGTTGCTAGTATTGCCACTGCACGGCGAATAACTGAACTGAGGTCCGTTCGTTTTGCAGCTGCTGATGCGGTGTCGGACTCAGGTGGCCGAGGAGCTTGGCGTCGATTGCCACCAGCTGGAGATCTCCATGGGCATGTCCGCCGACTACGAACACGCCGTGAGTAGCTCTCCTGATCAGATGTATGTCTCAGCCTCAGATAGTAATGCACTGGCATTGGACGTTGTTATATTTTTTCAGGAAAATTCATAGCCAACGTATTTCTTTCTACAGATAACTTCAAATTTTCTAGCTTTGTGAAAGACTACTTACGAGATACAACGTCAAAATCATGGTGAAACTGGAAATATTTTGTGATTCGTCTCGAATCCTGTCACTTCACAAGGTGTCGAGATGGGTCCTGAAGCGTGCAGAATTTAGCATCATTTGACTACAATATAATGCAAATAGAACATTTGAGAAATGTCAGCACAACGACATGTGATTATAGCAGTAATGTATCGATACGTTCTGTGTCGCAAAAACGTGGGCAATTTAGGTAACAGTGTAATTTATCCTATCAACAATTTCTTCTTGATCGGGTCTGCCGTCACTCGTCATCCACAGTAATTACAAAGCATGACCGTGTCATCAAGTGTATTTCCTCTTCATCTACTTGTGTGGGTAAGTGCTCCTCTGGTGGTTCATTTATCATTATAAGCTCCTCTCCCTTTCAGATTATGCTGGGAAGCACGAATGTGCGCGTTGGCAGCCAGATCTTCGGGGCACGTCAGTATAAGAACACCAGTAACGGTCCCGCTGAGTCCAGTGGTGCCCCAGCCGCCGAGTCGGGGGACACTCCAGGCAAGGCGGCCGTGGGTCCTCGGACCGGGTCGGCCGGCAGCGGCGGTGGCTCGGAGCAGCAGGCGGCGGCCCCGTGCGGCCACTCGGGAGACCCGGGCGGGGCCGAGCCGGCCGAGTCGGTCCGCCTCTCGGCCGTGCAGTGAGCGACTGACGCGCCGCGACCCACCGTCTCCCACTGACCGCAGCCGGACCAAGTGGCTGCCTGTAGAGTGGTGATAGGTCTGCGTAACTCATGGTTGTATACTTGTCTGTGTGCACGTCACCCTTGACGACCTGCCCCCGGGAGGGAAAAGCTGCTCTTTCTTTTTAGTTACTTTAAGCTTTAAGCTGCACTGTCGCGGATTGTTGATCAGAGATTCTCTTGGTAGGCAGTGAGCAATTCGAAAGTAATGGAGCTCAATCAGGGACGCCCTCGCAGAGTTCAGCTTTTATGGATACTTCTCTTAGCCTGCAACTTGCCAAGTGATTTTGAGGATGTGAATATTTTTAAAGGACCATGGATGACTTATAACTTGAAACCAGTACTTTTGCCGCTCTCAGTCATGCCTATATTGCAACTAACTATCGTGCCAGCGAAAATTTTTTCATAGTTCGATCGTTGGCCATACTGTGGCCTGCCATGACGTTGAAAAGTGTCCGCTCCCAGTTGGTCATTCCATGACAGGCGATGCCATTTATCCTTAACTTTAATAATAGTGAACATCACAAACCGATTACAGTGAGTTCTGATACAATTACTGCTCACAAACATTGCTCTTAAGCTGCTGATTGTGGCAGAAAATGACTTGGCCGTTATGTTTGCCAGGATGCTGGTGCTTGCTTTCCTTTGTGTTCTGCAAATTTCCTGACCGATTTTTATGGGATCTCCATCGCTGAGAGTGTGCGTTGTGCATTGTGCAGGATGTTTCTGGGTTCTTTTTGGACCTTGAGATGTCGAAGACGGACGCATGCTGACCATATTTGTGATGTATCGCGATGGCCTCGCGAAAATACCATATATACAACTTACAAGTGCAATAGTCGCTAAATATCCCAACCAACGCGTGCACCGAAGGATCGGTGACTATAGTAGGTACTAACCAAACAAAGGTTCTGTTACTGCAATATATTTTCAGGGTTTTGATGTCCTTTTTAGTTTTTACCAAGAAGGGCTGATGAATAACATTTTGTGGTGCGGGGTTTCATTAGTCAACTGCCATGCTTTGAAGTTAAGTCTGTTGGGCTCGCACTTACAACCGCACTGCATGGGTATGGGGCAAATAACCGTCTTTCTTTCAGATGTGAGCGCGTTCCTACCATGCCCTGTCCACCGCCATTTAGTGAGCCAGCTGCCTTCCTTTGCCCCGCTACTGGACTTGATTTACGTTATGGTGGCCCAGGCCTGGGTCCTTGGTTTGTAAAGTGTCGCTTGTATATATTGTTCCAGAGACTGACGGGCCGTCCAGTCTCACTTCACTGTAGATTGTGTCAGACCACTGTCGGTCACGTAGCTGGTTGTCGGGTGTTGCGTGCGGAGACACTAGCTCCGCGTTTGGCCGGTCTGAGCTGACAGGGTCGGCGGTCCGCAGTGACTGTCGACGGCGACAGCGCCACCTGCAGCCCAGCAAAACCGAGGCCGCCTCGGTGGCCGGGGAACGAAAGCCAACATTCGCGGCTGTGCCCTCTGTGCGTAGGTATGTGTTATTCGGTATCAAAGGGAGAGATAGCCAAGTGTGAATATACGAACCGGATTGAACTCGTTTTTTGGCTGAAATGTCATTTGATATATGTAGGCGTCGATGATTGCTGAGGTCGCTGGCTCTAGCTCATGCCTGCGTGGTTTGATGAAACGCTATTATAGTTCTCTTTCTTTTTTAAATTAATCACGTGTTAATGATTAATGTAAAGCGGTGGGTCGTAAAGCGTAAAGTAATCTTGCGTAAAACCGTTTGCCACCAGTGTCCCACATGTCATTGCTCATCAAACACGTAATCAGATGAATCATGAATGTTGAGGTATAATAACAAGATAAAGTGTAATTCTGTTGTGGAATGTTTTTGATTTTGAAACGCTACAGCTTCAAACAGCAAATCCTGTGGTGTTTGGAGGAGTGGTATTCTACTGTGCAAGCAGACATCCCACTATTGACGGTCGAATCGGAGACCCTTGGAATGTTTGTGACGTGGACGTGGTGTGCGGCATGCTGGGAGCTACAGGGTGACAGTCAGGATGCACGGCTGATGTTATCTTATGGAATTTATAACATTTAGATTCAATAAGCAAGACCATGACCGAGGTTATTGTGGGAGTCTTCTGCTTTCCCTTGGGCCTTGTTCACGATTCACGCAAAGGACCATGTTCATGGTGAGGAGACCTAGGAAGCAGCTTCTCTCATATATTTGATGAAATGAAGCCAAACTCTTCCTGAACCTATCATGCAGGCCGAGAAGAATAAATGATACAAATTCCACTTCTTGCGTGGGCTGCGTGTTAAAACGCTACAAATCAATCCACAAAAGATTGCAGTTTATTTGCTGTTATTCTTTGCCCACCACTTTTTGCAGAAATGTTCGTTTATTGAATAAACAAAGATCATTATAACTTTGTCGTATGTGAGTCAAACTGAAATATTTATTTGTTATAGAAACAAAAATGATTGATCACCCCTTTGAAAATAAGTTTGCAAAGTAGGAACATCAAAGTACACGTACTCTATGTGGGTGCGCCGTTATTTCTCTTGCCTGCGCCGCGCAAGTTTACGTATTGATTTCTTGTCTGCTTCTCGCGGAGAGTGGGTTACTATCATGCTGCGATGACCGATGATGGTGTATAGAAAACAAATAGATTGGTGGTGTAGTTTGTGTTGATTCCGGTGAATATTACTGCAAGCTTCCACAATGAAGGACAGGCTTGCGGCCCTAAAAGCGGTAAGCATTGCGTGACGAGACTGCACCACGGGACAGGCTGTTGGTTTCAGCACCGCCTGGTGGGTGAAGGGAGGGGAGTCAGAGTGGCTAAATTCCAAGTAATGAGGGTTAATTCCTCAAATTTAATGCATTGATATTTTAGCAATCATCAGGCATTTTAAATCTTATCCGTGTTGTGGCAAAAGGCTAATAAGAAAGCAAGTTCAAGTTGCTTGATGTTTCAAGTTTTGCATTTGCACTGGCCTGTTCCTTTGTTTTGCATGCTTATTTTTATTTTGAGAGATGTTTACAATGTATCATCATTGATCTTTTTTATGGGTCTTGGACATACCATTGTAATATATCCCTGAAAATAAGCTTCAAGGCTGTGTGACATGGTATCACATGTCAATGTTTATTGCCCATGCTGCTGTTTTTCTCATTATGATAATTTTCCCTACCTCCAACAGGCTCAGGCTATTGCTATGGTACCCAATGACAGGTCTTTTGCTCCTCCTCTTCATCTCTTACCTTGACTCTGGGTTGCGGCAGCAGTGAAAGCCCGCCCCATTTCTGGTGGTGCACTTCGGGAATACAGCCTGGGTTATTGCTGCAGCTCTTTGACTTCCATTGTTTTCATGTAGAAGTTCTGAAGCTGTTAGTCACATGTTTTGGAATGTTCTTCATTATCAGAAATTTTGATTTTCACATATAAAAGCTACATTGGACCTCTGTTCCTCTTGTCCCTACCTATACCCCCATTTTATCAAATCAACAACTAAGTGTTCTTTTACTTATGTTGTGATTGTTCTTTTTCAGGCCCACAGTGATGATGATGATGGTCCTGATGATGTCGCGGTTAATGTTGACAACCGGGAGCTGTTTATGGATGATTTCTTTGCAGAGGTATGTGAATGCTGTGTATGCCATATTTGCGTCTGGTTCTAAGACCCAATGAGTCTTGGTTTGGTATCTTTTTAGTTTTACTGGTAACAGAGATACCTGATCCAAGATGAAAAGTGTTCATTTGCCCAGATACCTAATAAAACAGCAAACAATGCATTTAATGAAATTAACCCTCTGGTAATTATATGGATGTTTTGTCCTCAGGTTGAAGAAATTAGAGAAAATATTGACAAAATTCAAGCAAATGTTGATGAAGTCAAGAAGAAGCACAGTACAATCTTGGCATCACCCACCACAGATGAAAGTAAGTGAACTATTCTCACCACTGAAGTTTTGATAACATCATGGGCCAGATGAATGTCAGTAGCCAGCAGGCCTGTGAACCCAACTAGAATTGACAGCTGTAATGTCATCTGAAACTGCCTCCATGAGTAAGCTGCAAGTGTCTGGATTGCTCTAGAAGTACCTACATTCAGTTTGCAGTTGCTGGGTGCTTCTTAAAAGGGATGGGCTTATCTGTTGAAATCTGTGTTAATGCTATTTTCAGTTTAGCTGGTCTTCCTCTGCAGCAAAATGAATTTGCTTTATATTATGTTGGCTTATCATAATGTTAATACCAAGTGGCAGTGGCTTTATTTATGCACTGTGGTCTGATTTAAAGGTAGAATGGGTTCCAGGTTTATCAACAGCAAGGACAGGAACAGGACAGTGCTAGTTGTCTTCTGGTGTTAGTTGTCTCTGATTGATCCATGAAACTATCTTTTTCAGAGGTCAAGCAAGAGTTGGAAGACCTGATGGCAGACATAAAGAAAACTGCCAACAGAGTCAGAGGGAAATTAAAAAGTGAGTAGCTAGCTTCTAACTATCCTGATCTGTGCACCAACAGCTTATGAGTTTGGGAAATTTCATCTGCTTTTTATGCAGATAAAACGCCTATTACTGAGTTGACAGATGAGTCATAGATGATTATTGCTGACTGCTTTTCATCTCTCAGTAAGCACTGTTTTTGCAAAGGCTTCATGTTTAATTCAGATAAGGTGAACAATATGCTTATTTTATGCTCAATATTTAGATTCTGCCAGATGTGTTTAGCACTGGTTGACTGAAAACTCTGTTGAGAGATACTTCTTTTGGATATTTGTTCCATTAGTATTTTTAAGTCGAGTTTCTTGGTTTCAAATGCCTGACCAAATTGACCCGCCTTCCTCGCCACGTGCCGCAGACATCGAGAGGGGTATCGAGGAGGAGGAGCACACAAACAAATCATCAGCCGACCTGCGGATAAGGAAAACGCAGCATGCCACCCTGTCGCGGAAGTTTGTCGAGGTGATGACCGAGTACAACCGGACACAGACCGACTACCGAGAGCGGTGCAAGGGCCGCATCAAACGACAGCTGGAGATCAGTGAGTGCGGCGGCGGGGGTTCAGAGTGGGGGCAGGGTGGCTGGCTGATCTGGGAGTGGGGAGGAGAGGAAGGGTGAATGGCAGCCTGCTTAGCACCATGGACTGAGAGGGATGGGTGGGAACGCTGTCCGGTGACCGTGACTCGTGGGTGGAGATGTGGTATTACCCGGTGCCTATGACTGGTAGCTGGAATGGACTGGGGCTGTCCAGAGAGTGGCAGGGTCGGTTGGTTGTTGAGTGAGCTATGGGTATTATCAGTGTTGATGGATCCCCTTCAGTTAATTGGTCAGTCCTCTGACATATGACTAATGTTGAAGTTTTGCTTCGCGTGGCTGGTGTTTCTGGATTGTCTATCCCATGTTTTTTTTTTCATTAGGATAGTGCGCGTGAAATTTAACGTCTGCCACGTCCGATTCCCGGCATAGCCTAGGTTTTGGTATCACCTTACTCTTTGTAATACAGCATACCGTTTACCGCACCTGTGCACCGGGGACTGGACAATTAGCTGTGACCAGTAGGCAGTAGCTCATCGATATAGATGGGTACCTTTCGTTTTTTTTTTAACTTCTATGTCATTTTCCGTGGACAATTAAACATTTTTATAAACCGGAACTGTGGAAATGCCTCCCGCAATTTCCGTTCCCATTTTTGGTCATGGCTTGCATTGGTGAATTACATGATGCAGATGCAAAGCTTCATAATGAATGTTACATGTTATAGCTTATGCTATCATAGAGCCCGCAGCATAACCCATCATATGCCTTGTTTCGTTGGTATGTTGTTGGACCAGACTATGTCCATCCTTCAGTTTTAGGTGTCAACTGTCGCTACTTCTAGTGGTTGTTTACCGCTGGCACTGCACTGTCTTCATTGTGGCGAACGCGACGTGACTCGCCTGTGCCGTGTTTCAGCCGGCAAGGACACGACGGACAAAGAGCTGGAGGACATGTTGGAACAGGGCAACCCGGCCGTCTTCACACAGGGGGTGAGTCAGTCTGTAGCTCGGGCCGTCCCCCGCTCCCCGCTCCAGGGCGGCGGTTTGTCCGGCCGGCTTTGCGGGATCAGGCGCGGCGGCTCATATCGGCGCCTGTTGCCACGGCCGCCCGCCCGCGGCGTCCGCCCGCCGTCCGCGGTGCGCGCCCGAGCGGCGGCCTGTATCTGCCGCCACCCCCGTCCCGGCGACACGGACGGCCGGGCGCCGATCGTTTGTGGTGATCCACCAAGGCTGCCTGCTCACCGGTAGTCGCGCTGAAGGGCGCTGCCAGCTATTGTGTCTAGCGTCATGCTTCATAACGCTGGACGGTGGATATTCAGGGCCCAGATGTTGCATAAGCTCGTGTGTGGGTGCTGCACTAATTTTGTGGTTTGTTTAATTTGAAAACGGGTACTTAAATGAAGTGTAATAATTCATGACGCTCATTTGTAAACACTGCAGCCGGCGGCCGCTTGATTCCGAAATGCCTTCATTTCCATAGGGGTTTGTTATTCCGGTTGCTTTCAGTGTTATCTAGTTGAATCAGCATATTCCATTCAAGCTCACTTCATTATGTAACTACTGACGATTAGAAAGGACACATCGATACACCCTTCGTCATTGCCGACATCTTACCATTGTCGATGTATAGACTTGTTTGGACGTTATGCTTATATTGTTGCAGATTGAGCACACAACTCGGAACTGTTTCTGTTTGCGGAAATGGTTGAGTATCGATGTCCTATTTTGGCCAACTGCCAACAGTCAGCCTGCATATTCTCTTTAACAAAAAAAAAAGAAGAATGAAAATAAAACGTCAAACAACGAGCAAGAGAGCGAACGCGCGCGATGAACGAGACTTCAAACGAGCCAATTTACCCAAAGCTCTTTTGCATCATATGATAAATTCCTCTAAACGTAACGATGAGCTGTTTCACCTGAGTTCTGTCCTGAATACCGGTTTAATGCAGGGTGTCCCAAAAATAATGTCACACCTGTCCAGCGTCAATTTCATGAAAATAACAAACATGAGAGGCGCACTTTTCTTACATATGATTCCCACCTTCTCCCTAATGCGGGCAAGCATACGGTACGGGACATCAGACATCAACATGTCCAGCTTCTGTGGACTGATCTTGGACCAGACAGATCGAACGTTCCTGGTCCGCGTGCGTTCAGGTTATCCTGGCGCCGTTTTGCTCACCTCTTACAGGACGATCGCCCAAAGATTTTCTATCGGCGACATGTCGGGGCTATTCACCGGCCATTTGTCCTTCTCCCAGAATGCTGGGAAGTTCGATCTGTACCAGTCCTTCGTCGTTCTAGCTCAATGAGCCGGGGCGCCGACTTGTTGAAAGATGGGCCTGGACATGTTCAGCAGAAGTTTTCGGCTGGAAACGTGACTTGTTGGGCTTCAACTTTAGAGACATCCTCCGGTACCGATGGATTATCAATTTGATGACTGGATGACTGTTGGCAATCACCCTCCTTGCCAGTTTCCTTGTGGATAAGCCCGTCTTTAGCTCCGCACTTCGCGATGACGATCTGCGTTATACCCGGCTGGCGGAAGTCTTCTTGCCGCGACCTAGCTTGTTCCCAGGCGTCTATCCGCTTCTGTCGCGTGATGACCAGCGCCAAATCGTGCGACAACTCATGCCCAGTACCTCGGCGATCTGGCCGTGGGTCATGCCACCGGCAACCATGCCGACTGCCCCGCTGCGGGACGATTTGCTCTGCAGTTTCGCCATCCTGGACACCTGGTCCGCGCGCGCTGGGTACTGCCCCGGAAATGACCTCCGTACACCCCTTGACCGGTCAGGGTCACAAAAATTCGAAGGTCACGTGACTAGAATGTAGCCAATATGGTCTGGGAGCCAGTACCGGTGAAATTATATTGATATTGCGCAGTAGAAGGCAAAACAAAGGTTGTGGGAGGGTTTGACATTAATTTTGGGACACCATGTATAGTAAGCTGTTGGAATGATGTAAGAGCTTCAATGAAGAAGGCATTTGTTTGCGACATAAGTTACAGGTTGTATTGGAGCTTATTCATAACTCGAAGGAAGTAAGAACAATTTGCTAACGTCATGTAAGAGCGTTTAATGTAAGAGCTGGAGTGTTTTAATGGTTTAATGTCGTGACGCGTCGGGACCTCCAGGTCAGGAGTATATATGATCAACTTTTGTCCTAATAGTACTTTGTAATATGCTGAGATCCATCCACTCATGCGAAGAAGTAAACAAGTGTTAAGCACTTGGCGATTGTCTAACCGTCATGCAGGTTCCTATCAACCGCAGATACACAGGACACCTCGCAATTTACTGTTGATGCCAGTCACATCCCGGCATAAAAAATGCGGAGTTTGGTTCACAACGCTGTTTTTAAAGTGTATCAAGTGCTGGTGCTTTTCCAGGCACTGTTTAGATATCGGTAGAAACCGTACCCATCTCTACATCCTGAGCCAGTACGATTCGCCTCTATCTCTAGGTATGCGTCGCTTATGTATACACACACACACACACACACACACACACGAGAACGAGATAAGCTCGACTTCCCAGTGGCACGTGATCGGCGTCGGTATCGGGGGCGGGGGTGAGCGCGGCTTACGGGGAGCGGTATCAGATGGAGGTGGGTGCCGATCTGGCGGCCCTGTCTCACTTCCCATCTGCCGGAGAGGGCCCGACAGACCACCGGCCGCTGATAGGCCGGAAACATTACTGGCGGCAGCTATTAGCTGGATTGTCTCTGTTGTCGATGGGTGGATGGGAAAGGTGTTTTGGTACGATATGTATCTGTTATCCCGTTAGGTGTGGTATTATTACATTGGTTTATTGGGGACATGCAACTTGTTGCGGTATGTGGGCACATTAAGCCTTTTAGAATGATACTAGGTGACAGTAAATAGCCGGAACTCTGAACCAATTTTACCGTCGTAAATTTGGTTCAGAATGTCTTGTTCTACTGCAGCTTAAAGGAAACAGTTCACTTTCCTGAAATTAGTATTTTGCTATGGATTTATGATTTGTTATGCTCAAAATGATCAGAAAATAAAATAAAACCCTTTTGTAAAAACAATTATTTCCTATATTTTAATATAGGACGAACTATATTCTATGTAAAATAATGTTTGACGCGGAAGCTTATTACGCGTTGACCAATCATATTGCGTAGTTCAAACCTACGCATGCTGCATTGGCTGTAAGCAGCATGCTGATTGGCTGACGATGACGTGGCTGCATTCCTGTGCAAGGCACACATTCCTCTGCAAGACACTCTTTTCGGAACGAGAAATGGAATATCTTCGTCTAGGGTGATCGTTGAGCCGTAAAAGCTCCTGATTTGTGCTAGTCTCAGCTCAAGCTACAAAACTGCTATTCCAGTTCAAAACCCCATGTTAAAAGTGAACTATTTCCTTTAAAGGCCAAATGACTTTTGCCGCCAGAAATTAAATGTCAAGTTTCTTCATTAGTTGTTTTTAAAACGCATCGCAGATACGAAATATTTGAGAGAGTTGCATTTGCTATGTGCATGTCATTCGTGAGACAACTATCTTTAGGGCTGCTCAGAGTGAAGACAGAGATGATAGAAGTGTTAATTCCCTCGTTTGTGGTGCAGAGACAACGGCCCTGACCGTATCCGGTGCATAACAAATAGTCGTATTCCTTGCTGTTACATTCGCTCCTTTCGCCGACCGTCTGGTCTGTCTGTGTCGCGGCTGTGACGTGACGGTGACGTGATATGACGTTACGGTCGCCGCGTGACGGCCGCGGCTCTGTTCGGAAGACGTGTCCCGCGGGACGGCCAGTGGTAGAGCGGACAGCTGCTGCCCGTACCCACTGGGACGGTGGGGAGTGTCACTCCGCACCCACCACCCACTGGGACGGTGGACAGGGTCTGCCACCACCCACTGGGTCGGTGGACAGGGTCTGCCAGCACCCACCAGGGTCCGCCCGCGCCCGCACTGGCCACTGTGCCGGTTGATAGGGTCTGCCCGCGCCGCGGTCAGCGTTACTCCTTCTACCATTGCTGATCTTTTCCACCGATGTGGGTCAGACCATGCTTGAAGAGAAATTGGTTATGTGGTTAAAACGGCTGGCATTATTAGTGGTCCTTCAAGTATTTCGTGCAGTGGGGTATACTGATGCTATTCCTGAATTCTGACGACTAACGCTGCCAGCCACCAGTGCGGAGTATTGTGCCGTAGTTATTTCATAGCAATCTTGGCCATCTAAATTCTAAAAACTCTGTCTATTTACATAAGAAAAGTCAAAGACGAGTTAATCTAAATCAGAGCTGTCAGAAAGTTAAATAAGCCTCCTTTGCGTCAGAAAGATTGAATGGGAATCACTGTCAGCAAAAGCGCGATGCATATTTAAGCTGAGATAGCTGAAAACCAGCTCAGTGTCTCGAATAGCTTAAAATAAGTCGTTAATGAATGCTTAACGCTAGCCAGCTGCTGAAATAGCCCAGCAATGGAAACAATCGAACATCATTTCAATTTAATATTCAGCAAACAAACCTCACTGACACCGATCTTACATTGCGTAGCGGGCCACATCGACTGGGGTCGTCTTACCCTGGACTGAAATGTGTCCCCGCCGTCCAGTAGCGTTCCCCCTCCCATGATCCAGCTCGGATGTCATCAGCCTCCAGTACAGGTCGGCTGGGGCCGCGGCCCAGTCGCCGCGAGCAATCGGCACTAAAACGAAAACGGCTTCCACATGCTGCCATTTATAGGGTTTGGTCGGTCCACGCGATTGCCACTCGCCAACAAATAACCGGCAGCGATGTGGAGGTTTTCAACCGGATAATGTTCACGGTTAGATTCGGCGACCCGATGAGATTTTCTGAGCGGTCTCGGTAACGCAGGCTCTGGTCAATTCCTCATTAGCACTGATGGTACTCGATTGTTCGTGACACTGGCGCTACCGTCGCCCTGTGGAGTGTGGACGTGTTTTTGGGAGCCGTGTGTCGCCGTCTGTGAACGGACCCTTCCCCTCCTCTCCCTTCCTACCCCGGGATTCCAACTGTCATGCATTTTAGCACGTGTGACGCTTCGAATAAAGAGTAGGGTCTCCCCCCGCATAAATCTTCTCTAAATACAATATTTTGGCTGGAACGTGCTGAAAACCAAATTTAAACTGCTGCCCATGATGTCACAATCCCATATCCTTTATCATTTTATTTTGGATCCAGCACTGAAATTTAGTATGTTCTTGCATTATTTCGGTTACGCTTTCATCTTTGAATAAACGAATTCTCGATAAGCTAGCAATGGTTTTATCAACATCTAGCCGGACTATTGCTTCTTTTAAGGCAATAAGCGGCATGTACCTCTAAGGTCACTTGTCTTTAAAAAGAAAACTTGATATGACACCGGCATGTGTTTTTCTTAAAAAAAAAAAGAAGAAAATAAACCCGGATAGTGATGCCATATTTGCCAATATCTCATTCACCATGAGCTGAGCCCTGAATACGAAACTGGTGATTTCCTATATCATACAACAGCTCCTTCTTTAGCCGTGCTTGACGCTCGGTCTGCGTCCTGCTGTCTCCGGATGTGCGGTGGGGCTCTGAGTGCCTGGTCCGACCGTTCCCTCTCGCTGCGCCGCGCCCCTGATTGGCCACTTCCCGTCCCGTACACACGCCGCCGCCGCCGGCCCTGACCGGCCCTCCGCTCTCCGCAGATTATCATGGATACGCAGCAGGCCAAGCAGACGCTGGCCGACATCGAGGCACGCCACGCCGACATCATGAAGCTGGAGAACTCGATCCGGGAGCTGCACGATATGTTTATGGACATGGCGATGTTGGTGGAGAGCCAGGTACGGTTGGTCCGCCGGAGCGCGGCACGGAGCGCCGCCGCAGGGGAGCGGGTGTATACTGCCGACAGACAGTAGTGCGGCAGAGATGGTGACGGGGATGGGGACACCGGGTGGGTAGTCCGGTGATTCGCCCCGCACGGTGGCCCAGGGGTCTGTTGACGGTGAACTGCTTCGTTTGTTTTTGTTTTGTTTCTGAGGTATTGTTTTGACGACGGTTTGTTTGTTCACTTTTGCGGAGTGTCCTTGAGCTGTTCCCTAAAGTTAACCTCAAGTATTTTTTTGTTTTGGTTGATATTTTAGCAAAAGAAAAAATGAACAGTGCCCCACATTCATCATTAATTAAAGAAAAAAGCCCCAGTGTGCGATAGCTCCGTGCAGCACTGGTGTCCTTGCCGACGGCGTCGCCTCGGCGGCCGGCCGTCCTCTGGCGCGATCGGGGCGGGCCGACACTAGTATGGGTGCCGGTGCCAGCCGCCGCCCGGGCGGCACCCTGCCAACCGAGACGCGGACATGGCCCGCGCCGCCGCTCTTTTGTGGCTCCACTCCTCAGGGATGGAGACTCGGATAAAGCTGGCTTCTGCGTGTCGCGTACATTTCAGCGACTACGAAAAACGCAAAAAAAAAACTAACAAATAGATAGGGGAGCTGTTTAGTTAATTGAAGGACGTCTTAGTGAAAATCCACATTTGTAGCAGAATGTTTTCATTTTCCCACACATTTTCCCGAAACAATGGCAATTATATTGTCTTTTTTGTTGAGTTGTTTGCACGTCGTTATCATTTGTGCCGTACGACTTTGGGATTCCCAGTGACGATATTGATTTCTGGTGGTATGTGAATAGCATGTTGTGTTGCGGTGTTTTTATTCTGTTTTTGGATGTCAGCGTGGGAGTTTCCGTTCCGGTGTGGGCAGTGGTGGGAGTGTGGGGCGTGGTGAGCGCCCCGACGGCCGGGCGGCCCCGACCGGCGGGCGCCGACGCTGACCTCCGCCGCGCCTGTTTCCGCAGGGCGAAATGATCGACCGCATTGAGTATCATGTAGATCAGTCGGTCGACTATGTCGGCAAGGCGATGGAGGACACGAAAAAGGCCCTCAAGTACCAGCGGGGCGCGCGAAGGGTGAGTACGCTGCCTCTGACGGCCCGTGCCCGCTGCCCCACTGACGCCCGCCCCTCTGTCTGTGTCTCTCTGTCCGCGGGCGCCGCCGCCGCAGGGCGAGCTCATCGACCAGGTGCTGTTCAATGTCGAACACTCGGTAGAGTGGATCGAGGAAGCCAAGAAGGACACCAAAAAGGCGCTCAAGTATCAGAGCAAAGCGCGCAGGGTAAGCGGGGTGGCCGCGACTGGTGTGTTGGAGAGTTGGGCCGCGCTCGGCTGGTGGTGGTCGGAGCAGCGACAGGGGTGGGGTGGACGGCGCCGGCCCTGCCCGTGGAGGCCGCCCCCCCCCCCCACTGCACGAAGGCTGGCCGCTCCTAACGTCGGCGGGGGTACCCTTGGAGGCAATCCACTGACTTCACAGGGGTTTGCTGCGGAAAGAGGAGGGTGCGGTCCGGAATAGGGACGGCCCTGCTATAACTGCCGTGTGCTCGTTGGGGATCCTCACAAATGGACGACCTGGCGAGTGCCGTGGCCTTCTTACGGGGATTTAGTTGAGTGCGTATCAAGCGGCCGGAATCGTTTTTGGATATCAGCGGAGGAAGCCGATTGCGTTTTACTGGGAACTCTCCAAGGTGGTGGCGGAGATACCACTACTCGACCATAGCCACTCAGCCCAAAACCCCATATCCTAAAGCTTTCAAACCATTGACAGTATCACTTGCATTTTATTCAAATTTATTTTCGTATTTGATGCATGCTCATTTTGTTCGGCGCTCGTTTTTCATTCTACAGAAGTGTTCTGATTATTTGAATGTATTTGGGCCATGCCTTTTTGCACATTTATTGTTATGAACGTTTGTAGTGGAGGGTTACATTTTGTTATGCATTCGACGATATGCCTGGTTGCACAGAGTTTTTGACGAGTCTCTAGCTTATGTATTCTGCCTTAATTGCGATACAATGCTCTTTGTAGCGTTGAATGAAATCATTTTGGTTGTAGTAAAGCGCCATAATAGGCGAAGCCAGGGACTCTCAACAAACCCTATGTAAACACGGCTGATCTTGCAGCCTATATCAGCGACAATGTTCATATCACGATTTGCTCACATTATTCTTTTTTTGTCACCTGCCATGGATACGATGGTGCACGATACGAATAAGGAATGATGCTCGACTGCTCAAAAGTCATAGTAAAACAGCTGCCGTTTTAAAACTGATAGTCACCATGTCACCTGATTGCTTTCGTAGTCTACCGCTAGTGCTTACTTTTGAGTTCGTCGAATCGCCAGAATTACAGTCCCCGAGTTTTAGCATCGTGCCGCATGTCGCACTATGATTTATTTGTTTTTCTTCTTCTGTTTCAGAAAAAGATAGCGATCATCATTTGCTTGCTAATTGTGCTGCTGATAATCGCCATAGTGTTGATAATTCAGTTTGCGTAGAGCCAGCACCGCCGCCGCCGCCACATCCGCCACGGGCTCGGCAGTGTGAGTGGACAGTGAAGCGGGCGCCGCCGGTCGGCCGTCCGCCGGACCAGGGCCGCCGGACCAGACTGAGACGCTGGGGCGCGAGCGACGCTGGCCGCGGGCGCACGCACCGCCGTTCGGCCGGCGCGCGTCGTTGAAATTACTGCGTCCAAAGACAGGTGACTGCACTATGATCTATGTATTGTGATACTCTGGGGGTGATTTGATGCAGTAGACGCTCCTTGTAATTTCATCTGTATATTCGCATCCATGTTTAGGTCGTGGGCCGCGGGGCGACGTGTATTGCTTACCTAGCTAGTGGCGGTGGTGGTACCGGCCGGCGGCGGCTGTAGCGCGCCGCTCGGCCGACCGCGAGGCCTTCCGGGGTGGCCCTGCTGGCTTCCCCGGTCGACGGCCGCCCGCCCGCCCAGCCGGCCGGCCAGCACCGGCCTATATGCATTCTGTCGGGGCGTTGGGTGCACGCGGCGTCGCGGAAGGTGCCGGTGCGGCGGGGCGCGCGGCTTCCACCCGGTAATGGAGCGAGTTCACTGGGCGCCGGCGGACGTGGGAGGCGACAAGTGCCGTGTTCCGGTGTGCGGCGCCGGCTCCGTCTGCCGGTCACCGCCGGGGAGGGGGCGGGGGGCGGGGGCCGCCGCGTGTGGGAGGGTCGGCGCCGCTCCCGGAGCTCACGCGGCCGATCGATGCTCGTCGACGGACTGCGGAGCGGAGGGGGCGCGGCCGGGCGCCGCTCGCCGCCGGACCTGCCCACGGCACCGGCCGCCCCCGGCGCTGTCGCCCTGAATACAACACGGCCGCCGGTATTGCCTGCCGCTGCCGGCGCCGCGCTATTTATTCTGGAGCATATTGCGACTGGCGGCACGGCCAGCTGCCGTGTGTCGCACATGGACGGCAGAACGGAGCCGACAGCCACCATCCCTGGACCGGGAGACGCCAGTGGCCAAACTTGGCGGATACCAGCCCAGACTGACCCCAACTGGAACATGAAGCTGTCCACCGAACTACACAATGCCTCGTCAGCGGGTTTGAGTTCCTTTAGGGAAGTCAGACAGTTCCAAAGTAAAATCATAGCACTTAGGCACGAGCTTGATCGGCATCGCTCGTCGAGCACTGCTGTCTTGTTACCATATCGTCTGCACGACCAAGTTGCAGCTAGTCTTCTTTTGACTTGCACTGCCAGACCTGTAGCCTGTACCATGTCCTAGTACCCCGGCTATTGTTCCTCATCCGTCTTGTCCCCTCTCTCATCCATCCCATTTCCCCGTTCTCTCCATCCCGGTTTCTCCTTCCTCACCCATCTTCCGTTCCTCACCCTTCTCCAATTCCTTACACATCCCACTCCCATCCTCCCCAGAACAACAAGTGGTGCTACTGCTGCCTGGCCTCTGTCCTCGTCGCCGGCGTGCTCGCAGTCCTCTTCTTTATCTTCACCGACATCGACTTCTCATCCGGCTGAGCGGAACGGTCGCCGCGTCTCTCTCGGTCGTCGCCTCTCAGCCACCGGCGGCGGAGATCGCTCCCGTCACAGATTGGGTGCTTTATCGGACGTCCGGCGCTCGCAGCCGGACGCGTCCCGCGCCGGGACGGCCGCCCTCGGTCGCCGATAGAGCCCCCGCCCCGCCCCCGCCCCCGCCTCCCCGTCTGTTTTCACACCCTCGAGCGACCTCTGAGGAGTGGCAGCATGTTTTGCTGCCGTCTGCCGATGGCGACCTTGTTTGTTGGTCGCGGTTAGGTGGTTTAACGTTACTGCCTCGCATACGAATTACCCGCCGGGAATGAACGGAGCGGCGCAGATAGCATTGATTCTGAAAGCGTCGCTCATATCTCTGGGAGGGCTATTTTCACCCCGGGTTTATTCATGAGTGTGGGGCGGCGGGGAGTTCCGGTGGTGCCGGGCTCGGCGACCGGGCGGCGGGCGGGGCTGTGTCGCCCACTGGTGTCTGGACGGACCGCGCCGGGGCCGGTACAGTCTGGCTGCAGCCCCGGGGACGGGTGGGGGTCCGGGGCGCGCCCCAGATGGCCAGACGGGCGGACCGCTGACCAACTGACCCGGTCCCGAGTCCGAACCAACCGGCCGACCGACAGACCCGGGGAGACACCATGCCTTAACCGTTCAAGTATTTCTGGAGCGTCCTGTCCGGGAAGGTGAATTAAATAGGTCAGCCAGCAGTATACATATGGCGCGTCTGTGGGCCGGTGCGTTGTTGAACCTCGGTACTGTTCTAGAATTACGTGACGTACAGAGGAGGATCGTGCGATTACTATGATGTGTGGAACCTGTATCTTCTATTGCGACGGAGTTCTGATTCCGATGGTACCTCTTACATGATTATATTTATTTCGTATATTGTTTTGTTGGTTGTGTTGATTATATCATTGTAGCATTGATGACCGCACCATCGGTAATATACAATGTCAACTAGTATACCAACACCAACCCTTGTTTTGTTTTGTTGATAGAAAATGCTTATTTATCACAAATAAGGTTGCACGTCTTCACAATAGGATCAGCACTGCACATCTCGGAAGACGGAAGACTACACTCTCACATTTAGGGTTTGAAACAAACTATTGTCTTTGAGGGACTGTGTAGGGTAAAGGGGCGAGTGGGGCTGGCTATAGAGGCACGGCTGGGGCCTCCAGGGGTGCGCGAGCATAATTCTGAGGACCGACAATTGTGTGGGTAGATACGCCGACGGGGAAATGCGAGGTGACTGGCGAGATCTCAGAAGGAGCTGGACCGGGTGGTGGTGTCTGGGGCTTGGATCGACCCAGATGGAGTCGGGAGTATGGGCGGGGCGTCGTAGTGAGTTAGCTTACAGAGCAGACTTTATTGAGGTGACATCGGCAATGGTGAGGGGCATAAACGCTGATGGGTACAGGCCGTCTGGCGGTGCATCCTTGACTCATACGTCGCGTCTAGGTACGTCTGTGTAATGAATATTGTGTATTGCAAGGCGGTGCGCCCCGAAATGGCGGAGCAGTTGTAGCAGGTCGGACGTTCCGGTGCTTTAACACCGGCTCCGCTGTCAGCGAATGGTCTGAGACATTGAACGGTAATGGCGACTGAGTGGACTGTAGTCTAAACACCGATACGCTGCCTTGTACGGTCAAACTATAAATATTTCCTCAGACGTTCAGTCCTTAGCTTGTGTTGCACACTGCATCATGCACTTTACATCATGCACTTAACATCATGCACTTTGCATCATGCATGTGGGTGGTCCAGCACAACACGAAGTCGTCATGTGAAACGTGTACATTGACAGGTGTATTCGCCGTGAGTCGTTGGAAATTATCTTCACCTAAAAATTCAGCCATTGTAGCAGGCGCTTATGTAAGTAGCTGGCGCTTGTTCTCGTGTAAGCGGCACTAAATAGGATGGGGGTAGGTCTACATAATTTAGACTGGATGACACCGGAGAGGATAGTCGGTAACTGGTTCGGTCCATTTTGAGCCATTCGCCGTGTTCGTGACGGCACTACCAACACCGCCGGCCGGCTGACGTCGGGTGGTAGGAGCACCGCGCTGGTACAGGAGGGGAGGCAGGGCGCCGGCTCCTGGCCCTCTCGCCGGCGGCCTGTCACGCGGCGCCTGCCAAAAATGCCGCCCGCCTATTGATCGTCGGCCGTGCTGCCCTATTGAGAGTGGACACGACGGCACGCTGACGTCGCCTCTCTGGAGACGACACCCCTCCCCGTCACTACCCCCTCCCCTCCCCGACGGTGGCCGGGACTGAGTCATGACGGACTGGCCCGAGGCCATCTCCCGGCCCGTCTATCGAATTCAGCCGGAGGTGAGAATCCCTCTGTAGAGGTGAAAAGGAAATCCTTCTTTGGCTTCAAAAGGGCGTTGTGAGATATATCACTTATGCTCATCCATTTCTTAGAGCGATGAGAAAGGGCGTGGTAATTCGGTTAGCCCGCCTACCGGCCGCGGAGTCGGGCACCCTGTCCGGCGGGACAGCATAACTATCAGGCGTTTGACACTACTGCCATCTAGCGGCTATGGAGCGAAGTGAATCTGCTCACCGGCCGCCGCGCCGAGTCGGGCGCCCTGTCGTGCGGAACAGCATACCCACCAGGCGTTTGACATTCGTGTCATCTAGCGGCTGCAGAGCGAAGTAAGCTGAGCGGTGCGCCGCGGTCAGGTGTTCACTGTTCACGTTCTGTAAGTGGCAAGTGCCATTTGCCCATAGGAACAAAATAACGTAGCTCCTCTGCTTAAATTATGCACGAGCGGAGACAGTTTACCCTCTTTTTGGTACCCTCACCTTAGCGCTTTCCTCGCTTCGTTTTCTGCTCGATTCGAAACCGTGGTATCTAGTAGGTACAGCGAAGAGCTAACCCGTCAATGGGGAGCTATAAAGAGCGAATTAAGTCTTCAGAGTGATAACCTGAATACCAGAACCTAACGGATAACCTGAGTGGAAAGACACATTTTTTTCTTGCGCCTTTTTCTTCCAGGAAATGACAACCGTGGGCTTGTTAGTGTGCATTGTGCAAGATTTTGGGCAACGTGTGCATGGCCTCGACGTCTATTGCTTCTGTAGTTTTTTTTTTTTAAATAAAAACATATATTTATTATATTTTTCAATTAAAAAAGTGTGTCTTGCCTGCGTTTAGGATCATACACAAAATTCACACCACGGCAGACGACTGGTTAGTTCATCCATTTTATTTTTATTTTTAACTCGGTTCATTTGTTATCCTAGCGCCCGTGACAGAGACATGTAGCTTGGACCCGCCGATGCTGAACATGACGAAGCCGTTGTCTGGAGGCGTTCAGCGCCGGCTGGACGGTGACTGACTCAGCAGCCGGCGCCCGGCAGCTGACCGGCCGGGCCCGTCGGCCGCCGGCGCAGATCTGTCATATATCTCCTCCGGCGGCCGGTGCTGCGGCTCCAGGCGGAGAGCTGTCGCTGCTACACGCTTAGACCCGATCCGGGTGGCTCGGCCAGTCAGATTGAAATATTGCCTGTGGGGGGGGGGGGGGGGGGGGTCGGCGCTGACCGGCACGGCGTCTGCCGCCGCGCCGGTTCTGTCCGGCTATATTGAAACATAACGGACAGGGCGCGCCGTACAGCAGATGAGTCTGTTTGGCCTGCTGTGTAAGTTGAAGCTTTGGATGACACGTCTGTGGTTAGGAAACAGCGGTTCTTTTTCGGCGAACGCTGTCATTCACTATACATTTCCGGCGGTCATTATCCAAGAAGTTTGATTGTGAGGCGCTGTCAAATTATACGAAAATCTGAAGACGTTTCTGTAATTCCAAATCGTAGAAGTAGAAAGTCAAACTGTAGAAGTCATTAATTCACGTCAGGAAGGGGTTCTTTCAGAAAATATCGTCAGATGTATAGAGCTGTGTTGACATCCGTCTGTTATAATGAATGTTGCGGTCATCGTTGTGTTTCTTTTTGTCAGACGAATGCGAGCATTTATAACTGTTGTCTTATCCTTTGTTTTCCGGGCAACTCGCATGAAAAGCAAAACAAGTCAACTGGCTCTGCATCATGATTTATCATGAACATTTCAGCAAAGTCTGCGAATTTGTTTCATGGTAGGCTAATCACGAAACACATTGCGCAGCTATCGCCGAAATCGATGACGGCATGTGGCATGATACATGAGGACAATAACAGCAACATGCAACTATCTGTTACAATGTTGCTGCTTTTGATATTGTTATGGGGAGTTGCATTTTTGTTATTTATGTGCTTCGTTCATAGTTTATTTTATTCACCTTTTCTCTGTAAAAAAAAAAATGAACAATACCTATAACGCAAATGAACAGGTCCAAGCTTTGATAACAGAGTCACAACAGCCAAACAGCTGCAGCAATTGCGTGTATTGGTAAGGCAATCTTAATCACGTCTTCAAAATGCGACGTAAGGCGAGAAAAGTGTTGATATATGCTGACAGACGCCATCCTAAATGACCTATCGCCGTGTCCCGGCCTCAAGCATCGCTATCCTGAATTCAGATGGCCAGATTTTATCCGATATCTATAAATCTTGGGATTGCTAAAATCGACAGACACGGGGTCGGACAGATGCTGGGGGATTTTCAATCCCTGACACTTACTAACCTGGTAAATCATCTGACTTACGTTTGATTTAGTGTGAGCTGCAGTACGCATGTGTAAAACCGTAGATTACTTGAATCTATGGTAAAACATTAATACGAATGTCTCGTAACATTGTGCATCTATGGCCTGAAATAAAACCTGTTTACTACTTCAAACAGACATGCTGTAGATTCTTACCAATACCTGAAGCAAAACAGGTGGAGTGGATGGGGCGTTCGTCTCATGCAACTCTACAATAATTGGTACAATTAATTTATTTTAGAAATTTTCTCACCCACCAAAATATTACAAAAGTAGCGACATTTTCCTCTCCAGCATTTGGGTAGAAATGGAAAACTGTTCAGACGCACTGTCTATCGCGACGTGCCTTCATATGCTGGCCTTGTCGTGCACCGAACGGCGGGTAACAATGTGTCTGCCGGGCCACTGACTGAATGCGGAGCTGACACGAAACGTCGCATGTTTGCGCTCATCGAATTTGGCCAAATTTTACACAACACAGACTTGATAAATTACACTCTGTCCGATGAACGATGACTTTTGGTGTTCCAAAGTGACTGAGGTTGATGTTTTATGACATTCATTTTGACTGTCCCCCACATACCTTTGATGCCGTATACCACTAACCTTGTCGACTGTGCATGGTTCTATCCAGTCAATATCCAATACCCATTAGTCCCCGCAGGGGGCTGACCGTGGTCAGAGCTGCTGCTTAGCCGGGGTAACCTAGCCCCGGCTTTGCGGCGGCTGTGACTTCGGCCAGTAAGGGGAGTAGCGCCCCCTCGGCCCCAGCTTGACGCGCGTTTGACTTGGACTTGCCTTGCTTACTGGATGGATTGTCTGCAGGATTGGCCCCGCAGGGGGTTGGCAGTGGCTCGGGTTGCTGTCGGACTGGGTTTCTTGGGCCCTTACCCCGCGGCGGCCCTGGCCTCGGCCAGCAAGGGGAGTAGCGCCCCCTCGGCCCCAGCTTGACCCATGCTTGCCTACGACTTGCTTTGATCGCTGGATGGACAGATGGTACGGCCCGACTTTTCTCGGTTTCCGTGGTGTCGCGACCGGGGGGTTCTGTGCGTTTGTTGCCTAGCAACGAAATTGTTGTCATATTTTTGTGCTTAGAAAATTAAGGAAAAGGGGCTTTTTGGATGAGAAACTGATTGAAACGGGGTCATTATTATAGCTCATTCTGAAACAGTGAAAGTAAATATGCAAAGCCAAGGACGATGCATTCACTGATTAACAAGTGTCAAAGTGACATTCAAGAAGGGTTTATCTTTATGTTTCAACTTATTTCTTAGTTTATTTTCTCTCGTTAGCCGCAATGTGCGACTTTTGGAACGGTGTTTTTCATTT